CACGTTTATGAGGCACCCTGATGACCACGAGCCACGTGCAGGGGAATCCGCCCACAAAGGGCTGATCGCAGTCTAGGGAGGGTGACCTTGAGGGGCAGAGCAGACGAGGCATGTGCAGGGGGCTGAAAAATAAAGCAAAGGCACCTACTTGCCAAACTGCAAATCTGATTAGAACCCTCCCGTGGGACCGGTACAACCTCTCGGGAAGCGGGCAGGATGGACTGCAGTGGGGCGTGACTGCGGAGGGACACGGCGCTGACTGACTGGCAGGCTCCTATGCACCCTGCAGGGCCCTCCCGGGCTTAACCCCAGGGGAGGAAGGTCCAGACTTGTGTCTTAGCTGACTCAACTTTCAGGGACTGTGACGGCAAAGACAGACCCCTCCCGATCCTGCCACCTCCCTCGGGCCCCCGTCCTCAGCCCTTGAGCAGAGACACCTGCTTCCGTTTTCACCGTGGAAATGTTTGTCCTGCTTTGGCCCCATGTCAGGCTAAACCATGCGGAAAGAGCTGGGGCCTGGGAATTTCTAGAAGATTGTGATCTCTAGAGGGTCAGGGACAGCGAGCAGCCTAGCCCATGCCTCCGGGTCCTTCAGCTCTCAGCGTAAACTTCACCTTCTCAGAGCCTTCCCTGATTCACTAGAACAGGCTGTTTGGCTCCGCTGTGATGAGCAGGGTGCTGGGGGCTGGGCTCTGGTCCCACTCTGCCACTCTGTGTCGTTGGCAAGACTTGGGCAAGCCATGTCACCTCTCTGAGCCTGTTTCCCCATCTGATAAATGTGCCTTCCTATGGGGCTGTTGTGAGGATCACAGGACCTCATACAGGTCACCCAAATATTCTTGGCTCTATCTTTAACACAGATCCAGAATCTGGGCATGCCTCCCCCTCCCCACCCTGGTGCAAGCCACCACCATCCCTCCCTGGACCATCACTGGTCTCCCTGCTTCCTCCTTTGCCCCCACGGGCCATACTGCACATGGCAGCCAGGGGGATCAGATCATGCCCCTCCTCAGTTCAGAGCCCCCCCGTGAGGTCCAGGGTCCTTTGGAGCAAAGCCAAGTTCCCTGCAGTCTCCAAAAGACCCTGCCTGGACCAGTTTCCTGCCACCCCTCCACCTCCTCCCACTATCCCTCTCCCTCGCTCCACCTTAGCCACACTGGCCTCCTTGCTATTTTTTCAACAAGCCTGGCACACTCCTGCCTCAGGGCCTTTGCACTTGCGGTTCCCTCTGCTCAGAACATTGTTCCTCCAGCTACCTGGTGGCTCCGCTCTCTCCATCTCTTAGCTTAAATGTCACCTTCTCTGTGAACTTCTCAAGGTGCAACCACCATCATTCCAGTACTCACCATCCCCTTCCCCAGCTTTGCCTTCCTCGCTAGCTCTCACCGCCATCTGCCACAGCAGCTATATTATATTTACTTAGCTGCTTTTTGTCTGCTCCTTCCCACTAGAACGCGGCAAGAATTTGGACTTTTGTTCACTGGTATATGAGCAGCATGTTGAACAGGGCTTGGCATACAGCAGGTGCTCAAGAAGGGCCCGGTGGGAATCCATTCTGATCGATCAAGGCCCGTGCCACACCAGTCATTAAGTGCTTGAGTGTCCCTTCTGGCTGGGAAACCTCCGGCTGGACCCAGACAGCCTCAGGTTTGTGGAGCAGAGCAGAGACAAGCCAGCACAGCAATGGGGCATTTGGGGGTTGGAGGCAGAGAGGAGCCCCTTGCCCCTAAAATACCTCCTTATTCTGTTGCCACGAGGCTTCGAATTCCACTGAAGCTCCCTTTCTTGGGATTTAACTCATTCTCTGTGCTTCTCCTTCCAAATGGAAATAGGCTGCGGGTGAGGGCTGGGCTCACACACATCGGGCCTGACTCCTCCATGAGAGTCCTCCCCCATCCCCTAGATTGGGGATGTCCTTGTGGCTGTCTCAGGGGTCCCAGAGCCAGGGGACGCTGCGAGGCCTCTAGAGGACAAGCTGGGAATTAATACCCTGTGTCTGTAAGACAAACTGAGTCAGAAGGTAGGTGGATTCCATCCTTTAATGGGAGGAATTGCAAAGTCACCATTGAAGGACGTGGATATGGGGAGGGTGGAGAATTACGGCCAATTTTTGGCATCAATCTTTTGCACTGTTTCCAACCTACCATTTAAACTGAGGATAAGGCGGGTGCCTGGGTGGCTCAGTCGGTTAGGCGACTGCTTTCGGCTCAGGCCATGATCCTGGAGTCCAGGGATTCAGTCCCACACTGGCCTCCCTGCTCAGCAGGGAGTCTGCTTCTCCCTCTGACCCTCTGCTCGGTCCTCTCTCTCTCTCTTTCAAATAAGTAAATAAAATCTTTAAAAAAAAATAAACTGAGGATAAGGCAGAGGAAACAAATAATAAGTAAATAAATACAGAGATAAATCCCCTGACTAAGAGTCCGTTTCTGGGGTCGCATGTCCTCTCTTGGAGCTCTGAGCTGTTGGGAAGGAAGATGGCTTTCCAAAGGAAGCTTTGCAACAGCCACATCTTTGAAAAATGAGAACGTCCACTGCAGTGTGGGCCCTGATCTTGATGGCCTGTCACAGGGCCCAGGGCCCCCGCCCTCTTCCCCCTCCTGTGGGCGCACACCTGAGCTTTCCCGTCCGCGTGTCTGGCACCAGGCATCGATGGCAGAGGGCAAGCATTGCGGGGACACCAACTGCCACCTTGCACGATGGCGCGCTTCCTTCACCCAGCTCAGATCTGCCCGCAGAGCAGATGGCAGTAAAGCTCCATGGGTCTCCTGCCTACCAGAAAATGCAATTTTCTGCCCAAGGCTTGTTATCCAAGCCTTCCCTGAGGATGTCATTAATGGCATGAAAAGCTCCTGCAGAGCCGAAGTAAAGGTAAGGAGGAGGCACGGTCATGGCTGCAGTGACTAATTACTGGCTTTTGTCCTTGTTCCTTCGTGTCCAAATTGTGCCCACGGTTTATAACTCATTTGCTTTATGTTCAAAGAAAATGTAAACCCGGAACACAACAGGAAGTGTGCCATGACTCAGGTTGCCTCTTCTCCCGGTGTATTTGCCCAACAGCCTGATGTGGGGAGCCTTCGTGCAGGGCCCAGAGCTTTTGTCTGAAGCTCTGAGGTGGTAGAGCCCCATGGGGACCCCTCTCCGTGTGGTTGGTGCTCCCCAGGTTTGCAAAGCATTTGTATGTTCTCTCTCTTCACTGCCTCCCCGTGACTCAGCACTGTCCTTATTGTAGCTAATGCTGTTTTCAAGCCAACGACACCTAAAAAGCTGTCTTGGACAAGATTCCCTGCTAGGATTCCCAATGAGGGTGCGGCCACCAGCAGTGGGTCTAACCCACAGGTATGTTCAGTTTGTTTCTGTCAGGTGTTTGTTTTTTTTTTTTTAGAAAATGAGTCACCATTGAAAAATTAGGATTTCACTTAAAAATGGCGGCAGACACTAATGGTTACCTACCCAGTATCTGTTTTCCCTATTTCTTTGGTTATAGATCCTGATTTTAGGCAGGGCAACAATGTGCGCAGATGAAAGACTACATTTCCCAACTTCCCTTGTGGCAAAGTAAGATCCTGTGACTGGTTTTTTTTTTCATGTGACTCAGTTTTAACCAATAAGATGGAAGTGGTGGGCCCCTTTTGTACTTCCCTCCTTTCTTCCTGCTGTCTGGAAGAAGGATGAGTGGCTGGGACTCCCGCAGCCATCTTGAGCTATGAATTGACTTTGAGAATAGAAACCACATGCTGGAATGGTGCTGGAGGAAGAGAGAAAGGGCCCGAGTCTCCTTCGTGACTCTCAGAAGCTAGGAAAATTGCCCTAAACTATCCACCTCCTGACCTTTTTTTCATGAGTAAAAACAAAAAGCCAAGCAAAACAAAAACTTTCTTATATAAGCTACTGTAATTGTGGGTTTTCTGTTATAGATAGCCAACTTAATCCTGGGACAGTGCTTCTCTTGAAAAATCAAAATACCTAGTAATCTGGGTATGTACTCTTTCTTTATAACAGCATCACTGAGATGTAATTCACACACCAAACAATTCACCCATTTATAGTGTACGATTCACTGGTTCATAGGATGTTCACAGAGTTGTGCACCATTTACTTTTTATCACCCCAAAACATTTTCATCACCCCAAAACAAAATCTATACATACTAGCAGTCATGCCTCATTCCCCGACCCCAGTCCCACACCATCAATCTACCTTCTGTCTCTGTGGATTTGTCTATTTGGACATTTCATATAAATGGAATCATACAATATATGGGCTGTAGGACTTCTTTCACTGAGCATGGTGTTTTCGAGGCTCGTCAGTGTTGTAGCATGTACAAGGATTTTATTCCTTTTAACGGTTGGATAACATTCCATCTCATGGGTAGACAGTGTAGGGGGAAGCAGGAGGGACTTAACTCCTATAAAGGCACTTGTTTGAGGCAGGGGTTAAAAGTTTCCAGAAGCCTAGAGACAAATACCTCTTTCTGGGAAAGTGAACTAGTGAGAGATAACAACCATCCGGGAATAATGGTTGCCTGAGCAAAATTAGAAAGAACAACTTAAAGCCTGCTCACACAAGTGTTTCTATTTTTCCGGAGCCCTAAAAATGTTGACCAGGAAGAAGAGCATCCTTTGCTTGTCTTATGTCCACTAAAAAGTAATGACCAAAAGATAATGACCATGGGACTGAATGATACTTCCCCACTCCCAGCCCCTCACTCTTTAGAAAAGTGCCTTTAGGGGCACCTGGGTGGCTCAGTCGTTAAGCATCTGCCCTTGGCTCAGGTCATGATCCCAGGGTCCTGGGATCGAGCCCCGCGTTGGGCTCCCTGCTCAGCGGGGAGCCTGCTTCTCCTTCTGCCTCTGCCATTCCCCCCGCCACCCTGTTCTTGTGCCTTCTGGCTCTCTCTCTGTCAAATAAATTAATTTAAAAAAGAAAGAAAGAAAAGTGTCTTTAGAAGTCTTGCACGCGCTCTTTTCCTTCGGCGCGCCACTGAAGATCCTGGTGTCGCCATGGGCCGCCGCCCCGCCTGGTGTTACCGGTATTGTAAGAACAAGCTGTATCCAAAGTCTCGCTTCTGCAGAGGTGTCCCTGATGCCAAGATCCGCATCTTTGACCTGGGGCGGAAGAAGGCAAAAGTGGATGAGTTCCCACTATGTGGCCACATGGTGTCAGACGAATATGAGCAGCTCTCCTCTGAAGCCCTGGAGGCTGCCCGTATTTGTGCCAACAAGTACATGGTGAAAAGCTGTGGCAAAGAGGGTTTTCACATCCGAGTGCGGCTCCATCCCTTCCATGTCATCCGTATCAACAAGATGTTGTCCTGTGCTGGAGCTGACAGATCCACATCTCCAAGAAGTGGGGCGTTACTAAGTTTAATGCGGATGAATTTGAAGACATGGTGGCTGAAAAGCGGCTTATCCCAGATGGCTGTGGGGTCAAATACATCCCTAATCGTGGCCCCTTGGACAAATGGAGGGCTCTGCACTCATGAGAATCTCGGCACTGCCCCCCCCCCTTCATGGCCACCAATAAAACCTACTTCCTGTCAAAAAAAAAAAAGAAAAAAAAAGAAGTCTTGCACGCTACCCCTTTGGAGAGCGACGTTCCTTTTTCTTGCTGGCTCCCTCCCTTGTATACAAGCTATCTCTGATAAACTCTGCCTGATTTCTTTCTCTCAAGGTCAATGTTCATTCTGATGGCACTGAGACTCAAGAACCTGGTCCTGGGGGTCCAGTAACAGGTATACCACACTTTGTTGATCCATCAAGTGATGGACACTCCTGATGGACAGCCGCTTACTGGGTGGGAGTTGAGTCAGGGCTCCCCCGACAGATAGGGTGCAGCTTTCCAGTCCTCCCAGGTGTGTCCCCTCACCGAGACTGTGGTTGGGCGTTTATCATCGCGCTCACACATCTGTTGTCTTGTGGAAGAGTATTTCTTGGTTTCCAGGTGTCTAAAAAAGCAGCACAAAAGGTCAACAGAGACAGTCATGTACTTCTCTTCCATCCAGCCTTCTGCGCCCATGAAGTTCCCACCCGGACCCTGTGGGCATTTGGAATTGGTCTGGTTAAACTCATCATTTAAAAAATGACATTAGGGACTCCTGGGTGATGCAGTTGGTTAAGCATCCAACTCCTGGTTTGGGCTCAGTCGTGATCTCAGGGTCATGAGATCGAGCCCTGCGTCAGGCTCCGCTCTCAGCATGGAGTCTACTTGGGTTTCTCTTTCCTGCTCCATCTGCTCCTCCCCACTCTGTTTCTCTCTCTTTCTCTCCCTCAAATAAAAAAATAAATCTAAAAAAAAAAAAAAAGACATGGGGGTGCATGTCTGGTTCCCTCTCTGAGGACTAGCTGGTTGATGTTCCTCTTAAAGAGCAGGAGGGAAGGAAGGCATTCAGGGAGGGAGATGGTGCCAGGTTGAGGGGGCCCAGTGCCCATGAGAGAAGAGGACACATTCCTAGCTCTTCCCAGGAAGGAGGCAATGAGGCCACAGTCTCCGGGCTTCCCTTCCCTCTCCATCAGCTGGGAGTGAGAAGGGCCCAGACCCCAACTCTGGATGTAGCATGTGCCCAGAACTCCACTCAGCTCTTGCAGGCAGCCCCCAGGTGTGGAACGCCAGGTGCTACAGAGAATCCCTTTCATGGACGGGAGCACAGTGGGTTAGGACTCCAGTCCAGTTCTTCCTGCCTGTAGTTTGTTCCCAACCCAAGGGATTCCCAAAGACTTGTCCCTGATGAGGGCTCACTGGGACTCCCAATTAAGGGCAACATGATCTGCACTGTGCATGGCTGTTTACCTATGTCATTATAGTCTGAAACTATATCCTACAGTTGGGGCTTTTTTGGGAGTGTGTTTGTTTAAAAATAGCCTTTTCTCCCAGACTATACTGATAGCTGTGATAGGTAGTAACTTGATTTTTAATCACCTTAATGGATGATGCAAAAAATTGGCAGCCTTAAGGCAGTCCCCAAAATGTTTTTCCTTTGTTTCTTCATTTTTATGAATCCAGAAACCCCTAAACTGGGAATCACCCCATACCACAGAGTGCTTTAAGCCTGTCTCATTTTGATCTACAGAAGAAAGCTGTAAAATGCAGAGGCTGGGTGTCTCTCTACCTCTCCACTTTACAAATGACAGACTCCACCCGATTGGATGATCTGCCTGAAGTCCCTGGTAGGTCCTCAGCAGCCCCCGCCTCCCCACCCTGCTGCCTCTGAAATCTCATTGGAGATCACCATTTCGTCAACATCCTCAAGGTCTTGGGACTTGTAGATCAGTGACGAAGTGGCAAGTAAGGGGACTTCATCTTAGTCTTCTGTTACTGGTGAGGCAGCTGAGCACCGCCCTCCCCTCTGCTGTCCCATAATGGGGACACAGTCAGGGCCAAGGGAGGCGAGTGCTGACGCAGGCACCCTGAAGTTAACACCCTATGCTCTGGTTCACGCTGGTCCGTTTGGGAGCCATGCCAAGAACTCTGTCTTGCTTTGTAGCTCGTGGGGGGAACAAAACGAAACTCTTGGTTCAGTCTGAGGTTTGCAAATTAGCATGCCTTATTCCCGGGCGTTAGGTTCCATTGAAACCTCTGGAACAAGGAAGCGGGTAACCCTGCAGGCCCCCAGGGACTGCTGTGCCTTCTGGTGCAATTGTCTTTAATTGGCAGAAGGACAGCATTCTCTGCCTTTTCCTAACTCCTGGTTTTTCACGGGCAGATAAACAGCAGCGCTGAGTCAGAGCTAAACGATCGCCCACTCCTATGGCCTTTGGTGGGCCAGGGTTGGGGTGGAGAGAAGCAGGCACGAAAGCTGAGCTAGTCCTCCTACTGGGATGCTCCCGGGACAAACCGATGGGACGTGCGTTAAACCTATGGGATGTGCGTTAAACCTATGGGATGTGCGTTAAACCTATGGGATGTGCGTTTCCATCCTTCCTTACAACCAGCCCAGACTGCCGCTTTGTCCTTTCTTTTGGAAGTGCTGAAAAGCTCCAGCTGAGGATTTCCCTGGCAGGTCACTGTCAGGGTGGTGGGGGGCCATGGATTCCTACTGACAGCTTAATCCATAATTGTTCCCTGTCTTCTTCTTTTTTTTAAATAATTTTTTTATTGTTATGTTAATCACCATACATTACATCATTAGTTTTCGATGCAGCGTTCCATGATTCATTGTGCACAACACCCAGTGCTCCACGCAGAATGTGTGTTCCCTGTCTTCTTATCACTGGCATGGCACAAACCCCAAATGGGAGACGGGAAAAAAGAACCCATTTTGAACCTATTCTGTGAGACGCCCCTTCCTGGTCCACAAGGCGGGGGTGGGAAGGAGAGAGAGAAATGATGGTGAGGACTTGGTCCCCCAGTGACCTTGCAGTGCCTGATGCTGGGAAATTTGGCTCCCTGGGAGGACCAGAGTGTGAAGGGTGGCAGAGGAGGCGGCATCGTCCCTTACAGGGGAATGAGAGAAGGCTTCCTGGAGGAGGTGCCATCCCCGTGTAGTCTGGAAGGGTTCCAGGCAGAAGGAAGAGCTTAAACGAGAGAAGGTAGCTAACTTCCACTTAAGAAATGGCAGTGGGAGAGAAATCAGGAAAAATAACTGCTTGGAAAACATGAGTGATGAATAAACACATGAATCAGGGAGATGCAAATGAAGACCAGAGGACGCTCTCTTCTTACACCCACTAAATTGGCAAACACAGAAATCTACCGTGGTTTGGCAAAGATTCGGGACAACAGGAATGCTCACCCACAGTCGGTGGGTGTAAACTGTTAGGGGCACCTTGGAGAACAACATAGCATTGTGTTGTCAGCTGGAATGTTCACATTCCCTGTGATGCAGCGATTCCTCTCCCAGGTGTTCACCCGCTTCGGGCAGCGCCGATCACCGTAGTAAAGACTAGGTTCACTGGCGGGAGGGATGCTCACACATGGAATCCGATGCAGCAAGGAAATGAAGGAAATGAGCCTGGTCTTCTTTCCCCAAACAGATCCTGGGCCCAACCCTAAATCAATCATTTGGATGGAGGGGGGCGGGGCATAGTATATGCTAATTGCTGAAGCCAGGCAGGACTCCCTTCTGAGGCCCCACCCAAAACTGAAGGGCTGGGCTGAGGGTGGGGGGCAGTGGGTCCCCGGAGGAAAGCAAGACTGGGGGGGTACTGTAGAGGACACTTGTTGGTGCCCCTCCCAGAGCCCTCCACAGGTTGCTAGGGTGCCTCTGTGCCTCTGTGCCCCTGTTGCAGCTGGTATGTGTTCTAGGGCTCCTACTTGGGCTCCTGGAGCGCTTCCCGTCCCAGGGGAGGGCTGTCCCTGCGCCCCTTCCCAGGGCAGCCTGTGGCCAGTGACCAACCCGTGAGGGGAGGGGAACCCCAGCTCCCTTGCTTCGGGGCAGGACAAACTAGGGGGTGCGATGTGCACCCAAGAGCTGCCACAGGGTGAGGCCGAGGCGGGGACCCCCGCAAAATCTCACCCTTGGTTTCCTGCCCTTCCTTCACTCCCTGGCCAGGTTTCTCCTAGAAGCCTTTGACTCTTTCACTCAGCCTCTGTGTCTGGGGGAGTCCCGGTGCTATTTTATCAGAAGGGAAGTGAACAGAGACTGAGCTATCAACTCGACAGACGCCAGGAGGAAGAGCGGCGAGAACTCGATTTTATCAACTTGGAGGAACCGCCAACCTCTCTGGCTTCAGCCTCGTCATTTAAAACCAAAAGACACAACCAGGCAGTTTACAGAAGGAACTACTGTCCGTGGCCAGGAAACATGGACATCACACAGTGTCGCAATCAGAGAACCCAAAATATTTCTCATCTGTCAGAAGGCAGGGGTCAGAGTGAACATTCTCTCCAGTTTAGGCAGCGTGTGCGGAGGGGGGCCCTATCCTACTTTACTGATGGAAGTATAAATTGGTGTAATCTTTTCGGAGGGTAATTGCACAGTATCTATAAAAATGCTAAGTGTGGGGGGGGCACCTGGGTGGCTCAGTCAGGTAAGCATCCGACTCTTGACCTCAGGTCAGGTCTTGATCTCGGGGTTGTGAGTTCAAGCCTGGCATCCAGCTCCACCTTGAGTGTGGTGCCTACTTAAAAAAATAATGTTAAATGGGAAAACCCTTTGACTTAGCGATTCCAATTCTATGAATGCATGATGCAGCAATATCTGCACAAGAATGCAAAGACATGTGTACAAGTATATAAATTCAGCACTGTTTGCGATACCAACCACTTGTGAACAACCTAAATGTCCTTCAGTTGGGGGTTTGGTTGAAAATGGCAGAACAGGGGCACCTGGGTGGCTCAGTCCGTTGAGCGGTCGACTCTTGATTTCGGCTCAGGTCATAATCTCAGGGTTGTGAGATCCAGCACCGTGTCAGGCTCTGCACTGGGCATGGAGCCTCCTTAAGATTCTCTCTCCATCTCCCTGTGTCCCTCCCACCACCTTGCTTTTGCACGCTCCCCCCCCAAAAATAAAAAAATAAGTAAAAAAGTAAAACTGGCAGAACATTC